TGTGTGTGTGTGTGTGTGTGTGTGTGTGTGTGTGTGTGTGTGTGTGTGTGTGTGTGTATATGCATAAGGTTAAACACGTGAATTTTCTGGAAAAGTCGCACGTGGATCCGGTAAATAATTACCAAGCGAGATCATTGTACGCTTTATTTGCAGCAGGGCGAATTTTTCGAAACGCACGAGCGGACGTGCTATCTTTCCATGAGTAATTGCGCGCGCGAGTAATTCCCGCGTACAAATACGAAAAACGAACGTGGATATTGGTGGGCACACACGTTACGTGGCGAATGAAAAGGAGCAGAAAGCATAGAGTACGCCGGTTGCCATGGGAGCATATTTGCGTTGCACGCATTCATTTGATCGATAATTCCTAACTCCGCGCGCTACAGGGTAGGTCGGTGCTGCAGCTGAAGCTGCAGCCACAAGATCGCGATCGCTGCCATCATCCTATACCCTCCCTCGCCCGCTTATCTCGGCGCCGGCGCGGCGCGAAAATGCGCTGCACAGACGTTTATATTTCAACCGTCGCAATATAAATACGTTATGTAAAAAAGAAAGTCTATCGCAAAAGAGATGAAAAATTCTGTGAAATGTCGATGGTGTGTAAATAGCTTCCGTTAATGCGAAACGAATATTTCAAGCGTTTTACCTCTGGTGATGATAAGCTTGACCTTATTATCGACGCATGAAAAAGCGTATTAATCCTCCCATTGTCGAGTAAACTTGTATATTGAAAAGGTATCAGCGCGGTTCTCTCGTTCGTACAATACGCTTGCAGTTTTACCTAAAGCTATTACTTATCGAGACATCGGGGATGAATAATTGAAAAGCATACGGTCGATTGAAACAAGCACATAATTCTGGTATTCCCGATTAATCGATTTTTCAATTGTAAAGAAATTTAATCAAACGCAATACTGCAATGTAAGAACTTTAATTTAAATATTTAAATATATGAAATATCAAAATGACAAGAAAAAAAAATTTATGATTTTCTCTTAGAACTAATATAATTTATTCGAAGTGTCTAAAATTATTAATTATTCGATGCTTTCATTAATATTCTTGTATAGGATATAAAAGCCAACCGGATGTCCTTTAACATTACAGATTCTTTTAAAACAAGTTTTTCATCAGCGAAAAAATATCCGCAGTCTTCGTGCAATCGATTAAAATAAAAAGCTTCCGACAAGAAAACTTCAAGGGAAAAAAACATCAATAAAATTATAGTCTTTGGTCACATTATAATGAAGATGATTCATATTACATAATCATAAGGAAAACTCACCTGAACATGACCGAGGTGTTGCTCCACTTGTCGACTAACATAGACGATGTTCCCTTTTGTGGTGAGAACGATGAAAAAACCTCCGCTGTCAACCAGGTGCTGTTATAATTTGAAAAACAAATATAAAGTTGATCGTCTTAGTTGATTTGTTTATAGATAAGTATTGTATACTCACGTCAACAAAAAATTGCTCCAGATCAAATTGATCTTTGAACAACGGGGGAAGGAAGTTCGTGCAGCCTCTTCCGAGGGCTGTAAATAATGCACAAGAAACGCGACCGTCAATAATGCTTTTTTTTATCACCTGCATAATCGAAATTATATAACGATATGGACGAATGAATTTAACTTATCCGTAGCTTATTTAGAGCCATTAAAATAACAAAACGTAATATAATTTAATAGATAAAATCTATCTATCTATGTTAGAATCTACAACAATAACAATAAAATATAATTTCGTACTAATAATAGAATATAATAATTGAAGATAATTCGATATAACGAACCATAAAGATATAATAAGTTATTAATCCAGGAATAGTTACATGGAGTGTTTTATACTCCAGTGGCAAGAATATAAATTGTTGTAAAATAGATATTGTTTTCTTTCTTTCTATATGTATATAGATATATTTTCTTTTTTTTTTAATAATCATTTCTTACAAATTTAAATATGTTATTCTATCGAAAACCCAAAAGAGAATTTTAATTAAAAGTTTTAATGGAAATCTTTATTTTTTAGAAATACTGTTATATAATAAGCTTACCGTGCACTTAACGTGCCTTGTTCCATTTAATATTTGATTGGTTTCACTTACTTTTTTTCAGACAAATATGAATAAATCCATATCTATAATGTTCACAAATGCCAATAAATTGAAAAATACTCAATAATATACAACATGTTATAATAATAATGATTTTAATGGGAGTGTAAAATCACCCCCCAAGTGATTGTTTATGGGGGGGATGGAATGAAATGATTCCCGGATTAAGAAAATGCTTCATGGGAAGATGCGAGAAAAATATTCTGATAAGGTCGACTTACTGTAACGTGTCCTCAGGAAAGCGGTAGCTAATCTTAGGATGGATATTTTGTCCATTCTCCTCGAGCTTCCAGCAACGCTCGGCACAAGGGTCGCCATCGTCGATATATTTGCGTTGAGATTGTCGCGGCGTTGCTTTTCCGCCATGTTTCGCGACGCACGTGGATTGCTGTAACAAAGAATGAAAACAACACACAAGCGAAATTTAGTAACGCTCAAAAATCATTACATACAAAATAGAATGAAATAAATTATTCTGTATATCTTTCTATTTATAAAAATATATTTTTTTATGCTAATAGTGTAAGACTTACACTGTAAGTGACGTACTTTGAATTTACATTTTCATAAATTATACAATAAATTTATCGTATAAATTCTTGTTCGTCCATTTTCAACCAGAATTCCAATTAATCCAACCACTGACGTTTTTCTTAGCGATGCTTTTGTAATAATTACTTAAATCTAAATACAAGAAACATAAGTTTTATTTTCAAAATATAATAAATATAAAAAGAGATGTACATTTATATATAAAACAACCGATCCTAGTTAATTACTGTAACTTTTTGTCTCCATAGAAATTTATCCTCTCAGTATCGTAAAATGTATATTTGTATCTCTCGTAGAAGTCGTAATATCTTTATATCGTGCAACTTTCAGTATACAGTAAACTAGTATGTCATCACGCAACCATGCACAAAAATAAGGCCATGGCACAACTATGATATATGATAGTTAATACATATGTGTACCGTGTGTACTTCAGTAAACAGTGGCGTATATATCTTACACGTGTGTATATTTATAACGCTGAGATTTTTGAAGTACAATTCCGATGCGCGTTAAATGTATATAATATATATATAAGAACATCAACTATTTTTGTTACAAAATACACCCAGACAACACGCATGTCCAAAATGGGGATATAAGAAGATATAATAAGACATAATAAGACGTCTTACAAACATCTTTAAGATGTCTTATGATACAATAGTTACAAGACGTTTTAAGGGCATCCTAAAGTAAGATTGAATTCCAACGGAATCGCTGTCTCGAAAATCGATTTGTTTCGAAGGGAAGATGAATGAACCTGAAGGGAAGATGAATGAATACCTTAATTAAAGTAATTTCCTTCATTTTCTACTACTTTTTCCCATCTCTCTGGCAACAGGACAATCCCACGACAGTAGAATGCGGTGTCTTTCGAGACGACCCATTTTTGGACTTCGTTGTGACTGGAGAAGTGTGTGTCCGTAAGTGCTTGTTGCATCGATCGGAAGAGATGGTAATCCGACGGTGCCAAGTCTGGAGAGTACGCTGGGTGCGGCAGAACTTCCCATTCAAGCTCTCGAAGTGTCTACTTCACGCTTTTCGCGACATGCGGTCGAGTGTTATCATGCAACAAAATGACTTTGCGTCGATTGTTGGCTACGGATGATCTTTTGCATCAATTCGTTACTCAATCGGCCTTTGGAGTAACATTTAACTGTTTCGACAACTCTAAAAGCGTTTGAGCTGGATTCTTATCAAGCAATTCTTGCAGCTCGACATCTTCAAATTTTTTCGGCTGTCCTGGACATTCTTTCTCTTACATCAAAATCACCGTTTCGGAAGCGTTCAAACTAAACTCTACATGTTCTTTCCGATGGAGTTTCATCACCATACACTTCGGATAATAAGCGATGCGCTTCAGCTGCGGTTTTCTTGAGGTCGAAGTAGTGAAGAAGCACATGTCGGAAAAACAGCTTATCGCGATTCATTTTCAATCGATTGAAAAATCTCTTTGGCGTCGAGAAATCTAACCTGTGAGGATTGAATCACTTTCAGCGATGTCTAAACTACAAAAGACGTCGAAACTCGTCAGCGTTGGAGGCAGAGCCCTCTAGTAGCGAGCGATAGGAATTAAGTTTAACACCTAATACATATCACTACATATATTTTTTATAACTACATATTTTTTATAAAGGCCCAAGTGCACTTTTAGGGAATGCAGTACCCCTTCGAAGAAAATTTGTTATTTTCTTTCGAAGTGAATATCGTCGAAACTGTACGAAATAGAAAAAAATGTTCTGAGAATAAAAATTGAATAGTTTGGAAAGTACTTTATAATAATAGTCTTAAAAAATTTGTTTAAATAAAAAAATTTTTCCAATTATAATTATTAAGTATTCTTAAAACCATTCAACTTTTAAACATGTTTTTTCTATCTCTTACAGTTTTGATATTTACTTTAAAAAAAAATGACCGATATTTTTCAAAAGGAATGTTCCACCCTCTAATAAAATAGGCAACGTCGTTCCCCTGTGATTAACCCCTTATAAAAAAATATGTCTTTTATTTTGTCTTGAAAACAACATACAAAATCGGAGGGAAACGCTTCCATAGCTTTCCTTGTAAGATATTAAATTTGCAAGAAATTTTCAATAATTTGAATAATAATCATGAGCTTTGTATTTTTATCGTTACTGTTACTCCATTCTTTGTAATTTCGATGTTGTAAATCAGAGATACTTGTATTTCACTCGTAGCGAAAACGACATCAACCATTCTGAGAGAATTTTCGCAGAAATCATTGTGTAAGAGACTAAACTAAAGATACTTTAAAAAGATATTAAATTAAACTACCCGCACTAAACATTATATCAAGATATATACCGTAACATATAATTATGTAAAATAAAATTAAAACTAATATATTTATAGTTTTGTTCCACGTATTATTCTTTTTATACAGAATAGTTTATCAAGGCAGTGTTTATTTGATTGTCGACCTTGAAATCGCAGTCGTTTTATTATTTATATCATCGCGCACGCGAGTTAAATACAACAAATAAATATTTATAATCATTTCATAATAAACATTCTTGTGAATAAACATTATATTTATTATTAAAATTTAATTATAGTTATGAATTTAATTAATCATTGGTATTTTTCAATTATTATCGATAGCAAAATTTAATTAAGGCTTCTATCCCTTAACAATAATCACATTAAACTATAATATTAATAACAAAAAATTATATAAAATATATAATTTTTTCTTTGCAATATACATATAATACATTTACGTAAAATTAATATTTTCTTCATATAATAATAAATAACATAGTTACATTATTATTTGTTAAAAGTGCAATGTGTGTATTAATATAAACATTCTGATATATGCATGCACACGCACGCTTATATATAAATATTATGTAACATATCAGATGTTACGTATATATAATTTTGATATTTTATTTATAATAAATTAACAATTAATGCTTTAAATTTGGTTCTTTGTCCATTCGATTTTGTAGTAATCTAACCTTTAGAAAAGATGACTCTTTTTAACTTCTTTGGTTTAGAAATACATGCTAATAAATATTCTAAAAAAAAAAAAAACTGAAACCAGTCTAAATCCGAAAAATCAACTTCCTAGTTTCTAAAGGTTAAATGTACACGAGAAATATGTCTCGAATATTTACAAATTATAAAAAGGATCAACAATTTCTTCGAATTATGTGAATGATTAATTCCGCATTAATAGATTGACACATTGATGGATTATTGTAACAAATACTACATACTTCGTGAACGCACCACTATGTATATAAGCTTGCGTAATCGGATATTCAAGAAAGAATGACGTGACGTACATATATTTTTCTCGCTAATTAACATATTATCAAGTACACGATCTATTATGTAGTACACGTAGTAAACCTATTTCGTTGACTGTTATGCCCATTCGTTGCATCGATTATATATTTACGTACATATATATAATTCAACACATAATTTTTTTTTGCAATTACTTTTACAATTAATTTCTTATCATTAGTAGATACGAGTCTATTCACTGTACGTGAAGTCGCACACTTGAAACTTGTTTATTTGGGACAATGTTGCTAATTTATGCGTTGCATCACAAGTGTTTGGAAACCTGTTGCTCGTCTGTGCACACGTATAAAATAACCGAAGTGAGAAAATGTTTAAGCTCGTGTTCGCCGTATCTTGACGGCGTAACACGTGCATTTATGACCCTAATCTTTTTGCTCGTGCGATGGAATAGCTTATATAATAGGATCAAAGCTATAACGGTCTGACCCTCAATAAACCTCTTCGTTATGACCAAACCATGAAAAAGACTGTAAATAAATATATAAAATTATACAGCAACTTCTACTTGCAGTGAGTTGTGGTCAGATGTTTAAATTTTCATTTTAACTTACGGCGTTGATTGATTATTTCTTTGGCATCGTGCTCGTTGCAAAAACATACAATATTTTTGTCACGAAGAGAAGGACCGGCAGTAGTGTGGACGATCTTGAATAAACAATCGATGCAACTACAAATGTATAATGTTACAATGTGCCGTCAAAAAAGGATCAAGCACATTGTTAGGATGCCATGCGGGGGCACATTCTCGGGCACACAAGACAGTTATAGATCAAGGCTAGCGGTATGATTTCATTCGATTTACGATCTGCATGCGCTCGAGGTCTTCTCTCCGGAATCGCGGCGCAATGATTTATTTCTCCCCGCCAACTTTGGTAAATCTCTAGATCGCCCGCGAAAATCCATCTAATTGGTTCAACACATCGAATTAATTTACCATTGGAAATATTTATCTTGCATGACACTTCTGCCGAGATACGTCACCGGCAATAAACAATCGGCGCTTTGGCGTTGCGTCTGGTATCCGCTGCGTATCTGGCAGAGTGCCTATTCCGTGAACTCTTGAGTATCTCGTGTTCGACAGAATGGAGCGCACTATAATGTTAGCAAACAATATCTCTTTCTCTCGGGGACAGCTTGAGAAATGATCGAAAGGACGAGGGCACGGTGATATAAAACGCTACTCGAGATACACGTCGTGTAAATAAAATGTCCGCGATTATTAATTCGCGAAGATAAAAACCGGAGAAATTAGAGATAGACAGATTGCTCACTAATTACACCTCCGAGTAGAGCTCTTGGTAAGAGAATTAAATTAATTTTAATATCTGCACGATAATCACAAATTATATATAGTATCATAAAACTTCGTGTAATTGTAAATATTAATGCATGAATGCATTAATATTACTGTATTATCGCATCAGTGCATTAACACTCACAATGTTTAATAAATGATAATTACTGAAAGTGTTATAGAAATTGAACATATA